TGCATAGTTTTCAGAGTACTTTGGAGTCAATTCACATCTGATCTTTAAGTGACTGAATTCAATTGTAAAATGAGACAACCTGCAGATCAAAATCGCTCCACAAATGCACATTCTTCTGTCCATTTGGACTATATTAACCACTGTCTGGTTTCAGTTTTTAACAAAGGTGAATAGAAAAGAATACAGTTTTGATCCAATTTATGATGAATAAAACTGGGAAATTGCCACTCCACTTCAAATTGTCCAATGAAATTGTAGCTTGTTGTGCCACATCACATTTGGTTGGGGTATTATACATGACACACCGGCATCGATACAATTATGTAATATTTTTAAATATTTAATAATTTCATTTAATTTAATCAACTCCCTGAGAGAGCCATATATGGTCCGCGGTTCTCTGTCGCTTTTGTAAACAGACCGTCTAGTCACAGTAATGAATGTGCTACTACTACTAACATATACACCTTGTATTTTATTTTTACTGTGAGCAGAATAATTACAACAAAAAGAAATTTGAATGAGTAGTATATAGAATGAATGGAATGAATCGTGGTTAGCCAGCAAGTGGTGTCAGAATGCCACTTTGTTTGTCAAGTCTGAAGCAAGACGCAAACCCATAGCAGCAACACATTATGGCAACGACCTCTCAGACCTTCTGACAGCTGATACGTAAAAAAAAACAGGAATTTCCCGACTTTTGACAGATTTGTAACTGTTCTGTACACATTGCCATATTGATTATATTTCAAGTGCATTTTGATTTATTGACCTCAATATTTTTGTTGATGATGATTGTTGAGAGGTACTTTTCCTTTTGAAAATTCCATTTTGAAAAAAGACAGGGGCTTGAGCCTTCAGAACTACTGATTTTGTGGTATTTTTGGCTCTTGTATGATAAATTGCTTGTGATGTTTTTCATTTGTATGTTTCTTTGGATAAAAGCATCTGGGGGTTTAATTTGAATGTTTAATATTTTTTTTCTTCTCTCATATAGAACTTGCCGGTTACTCGCATCTTGGACAATTTGATGGAAATGAAGTCAAACCCGGTGAGCGTTCTTGTCTATTTCTCCCTTTCCCTACATCGTTTTAACTTCTCCCTCATAAGCACAAAATATTTAATATGTTTTCCTGCTATATTAGTATGAAACTCTTATAGTAACTAATATCTTTCCGATTGTTAGCTAAAAGTCTAAATCCAAACATCTGTTGTGCAGTGTACACTTGTTATTGTGTATCACCAAGGCTGACTGCTCTACCTCCTACTGCGAATGAATGCATATGACACTGCAGCGCTATGGGACACTGAATTTGTTCTGAACGGGGCACTGAAGAGGCTCTTTGAGTGTGCTGAGACTTCAATCCAGGCAATCTGAGCTGCACGGTTAATGTGAATGTCTCAGCCAGGGGAACACCTGCGGAGAGAGAGAGGGAGAGGGTTTCTAGTGAGCAAACCTGAAGCATGATGTATTAAGTTTCTAGGGCTAAGGGATTTGGAAGCAGCCCATTCAGGCTTTTCACCTTTGTGAGGCGAAACAGAGGTGCAAACCCCACAGGTGCGAAGCACTAGGGGGCGTCTGTACAGAAGCCGAAGCCATTTCAGCAATAATTGGATTGTGTTCTGCTAAGGTTTAAGGATCTCATTGTCTGCATATAAAGCATCAGTTATTTGAACACACTGGTGGTTTTCAAGTTATTGTTGGATCACCTTAAAGGAAAAATCTGCTTTGAAAATTTCTCCTGATGCTTTGAAATCAACTAGCTGCGCGCACAGTGTGGGGGGAATGATTAATGCTGAATTTTTTTAAATATTTTTTTTATAAATGTGGAATTACCACAAAGGATATGATGTGGCAAATCTTTGACAGCTCCCTCATAATAGGACTCTTCTCTATTTAGACATCTTGAATTCTCCCTAAGCACACTTCCAAGAACTATCCCGATGTGTTTTAAATATAAAATGCTGTAATGGAGACAGCTAGCTAACATATAAGCTCTTGCAATCATTCACTTTTGTAACAGTGGCCTTTTAGATTCCCCTTCTCGTACCTTGACATAAAGACCTTTTTTCCGTCTAAAACACCCTCAGGGTCCCTCTGATCTTCTCGGTCTTAAAAGCTGGGGTGGACAGATTGCCATATCCCGTTACCGACTGGAAATGCTTCCCCTTCACTGCCCATAAACCTGAATTGAACATAACCGTATTATCATTTTCTCAGCTACTGGAATTTCAGTGCCCTGCACAATACGGCTGTTGTTGTACGGCTGAAGCTGGGCAGCTGAGCGCTTCAGAATCTCCTGCCTCCTCCACTCGTCAGATAGTCCTTGCAGATGGGCCTGTGCGACCAGGTTGCAATAGTGTGTTAATACTGAGCTTTGCTACCCGGTGAGGGTAAACCGATAGCAGAAAAATCTAGAGAATTTTACCATTTGGATGTGGAGTGGGGCTCTTCTTTCAGTGAGTTGTCGGCAAAGCATTTCTTCTCAGAATTAAGTATGCACCAGAGCGCCAGGCCTGCCAGGCCAGGCTCACTGAGGTCCCGTGGGGGAAGAGACAGGCTTGGCCCATCCGATACAGAGGATGAGGAAGTAGGAGGCCATTGGCCCCTGCCTCAGAGACGGTTCTCCTAAATTTGTGTCTGGACTCTTCAAAGTAGAGAGATGATAATCTTACTTTTTAAATCAAACTGGAGGACATTTTACTGTTTGAGGCTTCTGGTTCTCAGACGAATGGTTGCTGGGAAGCATTAGATCTTGATAAGCATTTAATGTAGATAGATGAGGTGGTTTTTAGGGTGGTGATGTGGGGAGGGTGCGCCGAGTGTTATTTCATCCTTAATTTGCTTACGCGCTCTAATCCCTAATGTTATGTGTTGTGATTTTTGTAGGAGACGGATGACTACAGATACTTTGATCCCAAGATGCTTCGCGGAAGCGAGAGGTAGGACACTGAAGACGAAAACTAGGCTCCTTATATTTTCAAATGATACATCTCTGTGTTTGACTTGGTCCCACTGTATTTAAATATTATGTTAAAGGCATTTGATCCATGGAGGAATTCTAAATCGCTTGTGTCTTTATTACATATACATAAGGCAGTATTGAAGTTAGGTAAATAACGGATCTGCACATCCTTGCCAGAGCTGGAACTTTCCACTGAAAATATTTAGAATATAAGGAGATCTGTAGTTTTTCCCCCACAACTATTGGCTATTTTCAATATCTGCCTGTGATGATGAATTAATCCTAACTGTTTAACTCCCTCAGCTCCATTCCAAGGAACAAGAACCCTTTTCAAGAGGTGAGTATAAAAAGCAATGGGGATATCTTTTGCAATATGAGGATGTTGATACGGTATCTTCACAGTTTGGCGCCCATGTGCTGTAACCTGGCGGGGTAATGTTAGTCACAGATAGCCTTCTGTTCCTAGTGGAGATTAGGCCCTGCTGATGACAAAGTGAGTTGGAAGCCCAGAGTGTCTGAGCTCACGTCTGTAGGAGGGCCAATTGAAATATTACAGGGTTTTATTTAATACAAAGCGTTTGTACAGTTTGCGTTGAAATTCACACATGATTAAGCTTGAACAACTGATGACAGATTTTCCTTTCACAGGCCATCGTCTTTGTCGTCGGGGGAGGCAATTACATAGAGTATCAGAATCTTGTTGACTACACAAAGGTATGACTGTGCCCATTTTCAAATGTAAAATGTTCTACGAGAACTTGCTTATGAAGACGAGTGTAATGATTTTCTTCTCTTCAGGCCAAGCAAGGGAAGCGGGTTCTTTATGGCTGTAGTGAGCTTTTCAATGCTGCCCAGTTCATTAAACAGGTATGATCACTTCCCCTACAGCATAAACTGATAGGAAATGCATGTTATAAAAATCAGTCATCCGATTTGCGTCACACTTCAGTTGAAAATACAAATTCATCAACACGTTTTCACGTACAAGGACAGAATTCCATGAAAAATCAACTGCTCCGCGATCCATTGCTCTAAAATCCAACCGATTATCCCAGAGTTGGAGAGAACAACACTGCTTTGAGTGTCTTGGAATGCTTTTTGCTGCTTGAAGCAAATCTACGTTGTACTTTGTCTTAACAAATTTGACACCAAGTCATAACGTGCCTTTCCCTCTGTAAATATTTTTTAAACATTTTGCCCAGTTTTTTTTCCACATCAATTTCTTCTTAATGTACTTTTACCGCTTTGCTCTGAGTGAAAATAAGGGGAGGGTTTCGTGTCTCGCTTTTCCCAATTCTTCCTGTAGTTGTTAACTTAAATGACACTGACTGTATGCTAAAAAATTATTCAGTAGCAATCCTAGTTTCGTTTAAGTGTTAATGTGATTTTGTGGTATCAGAGCTTTTAAGAGTAAGACTAAACCCATTAATTTCTCCACAGCTCTCCCAGCTTGGTCAGAAATAGGAGGAGCGTAGAAGTCTAGTTATCCACCCTTCTAGAAACTGGAATCAAGATCTCTTCATTTGTACTTCAATAAAACCTCTCTAACTTCAGAATCACTCATATTCCATGTACTTTATACTGTTTTCCTATACTATTTAATTCAATACTAAAGGTAACCGACAATAAAGTTTAACTGTCTCATGCACCAATTGCGCTTTGTTTTCTTTGTTTGAATCCACTTTGGGTCATCAGATGGAGATGTAGATATCCTCATTACGGGCTTATTGACATCGGGTGAGTTCAAGAGCTGAGGTAAATACCTTAAGTGGTTTGGTGACTAACAAGAACTGTCCCAAAAACCTCAGTCTCTAAAGTCTTTAACAAGATAAGGAGAGTACACCTAGTCTTGATCAACATAGGTGCTCTGTTACAGTTCAAATGTGTGCTCAAATGTAGATCCAGGGCATTTGGTCTAGTCTGGGTGGCCTGTGTATGTCTGCTGAACTTCCACCAATGATGAGAGAAATACCATGAACCCTAGCAAACGTCACCCTGAGATGAGTCCAACCTAATGGAAGATGGACATCCACAATGTTCTTTCCTCAACTGTCACAGTCTACAGTGTCGGATGGAGGATTACCTTACCTCAATTACCTTGATTTGGTAATGCAAGGTAATTGTCTAATTGTTTTGTATTCTCTGTACCTTAATATGGTTTCACTACATTCAAATGTCTTGTGAGAATAAACAATAGGTGAATTTTATGTTTTTTTCTTTGATAGGATTGCTCTAGGATTGGAAATGGGGTTGTAATATTACTTTTAACTAAGCAAAGAAAGTCTCTCGAACCACAGGATATCTTAACTCTCAACCTTGCCATTTCTGACGCCAGCATTGCTATTTTGGGATATTCTCGAGGAATCCTTGAAGTTTTCGATGTGTTCAGAGATGAAATGAAGGCTATCTTATAAAGACATTTTGGACTTGCAAGGTAAGGGGATGATTCTCACCCTCATGCCGCTTAAAACTTGCATGACTTTCTTTATTCAGTGGAACATAAAAGAAGATATTTAGAAAAAATGCCTCAGTAAAAGTTAAAGAGGTCCACTGTTGTTTTGAACCACACTGGCTATCATTGTATGGACAAAAACATTCTTCAAAATATCTTCTTTTATGTTCTACAGAGAAAAGAAAGTCATACATGTTTGGAACGACATAAGGGTGAGTAAATGACGTATATTATATTTCATTTGAGGTCCTCAAGATGAATTCAGCTACAAAGTTCAAATGATCAAGTGCCTTTCAGCATGATTCCCTTCAGTTCACGTCACTGAATGCTCTTGGAGGACATCACACAATATCTGGTGTGAGAGCCCCATCACTCTGTTCCCTTTGCAGTCTGACAGGTGGTGTTATGAGGCAGGAGGGGCCGAAGAGAGGAATTATTTGTAGTCGTTCCAAGTACACAGGCATGTGTCCCTTTATCCCCTAATCTAGCTGGCTTGTTCCCCAGGGCCTGGTTAGTGGGTGATGAGACAAGTAAGAGCGATTACTGCCTCAGAATGCCAGACCTGCTTGCAATGTATAAGATATTGTGTCTTGGCCAGGTGGATGGATTCCTAATCCTGCTCTTCGGACTCATCAGCATCAACACACTGACAGCCATCAGTGTCATCCGCTACATCAAAGGTTGCCACCCTCAGCATGGTATGCTCTATCTTGGCCAAACCTACTGGGTTATTATACCTTTGTATGGCTGCTATCCATTATTTAGTCCAGATGCTCATGCAGTGGAATCATTGAAAGCTGTTCTGCAATTACGTTACAAAATTTTGAGAATTTCACATTCTCATAGTATTATTGACTATTAGGCTACAAATAGCTACATGCATTACTCTTAGAGAGGTTAGGGAAGGCTTGCAAGTGGGTGCTAGGGGGTCTGTGAAGAAATAAATTAGGGGTAAAATGTAGTTTTCTAATATATGAATTAAACACATTAACCTAAATTTTAAAATGCCATTTATATTCAAGACATTTATAAATAATCATGTTTAGCAAATTTGATGGTGTTGGTTTAATTCTGCTTTCTAAAGACTGGCAATTTTAATAGATTATTATTATTAGAATCAATAAAATAAAAATGTAATTTAAAATTAAATTAATTTTACATTTATTATAAATTATCAGAATACATTTTATTTTTTACAAGGGAATCATCATGTTTGGGAGACACAGTAGGACAGTGAATACCAGCAAGTCCTGTTTGTTTCGTCTTTTATTAAACAATAAGTGGTTGAACCTAACAACTTCTGAACTTGAATCTTAGATAAATCTAGGACTGTTATTTTTCCATTTGTAGAAGCGATTTATCCTTGGCTGCACAAATGCTAGATAAATCAGCACGATTACGCTGTGAGGGCTGTGCTGATGTGAGTGTTTCTGCCATGTTCTTCAGCTCATCAGGTCATCAAGCGTAATATCTGCCTGGTCATAACTGCGGTCTGGCTGTTCTCTCTGTTCTGGGCTGGAGCTCCGCTGCTGGGCTGGGGCAGTTACAGAGGTAGGACTGTAACAAGGATGTTTACCATCTTTTAAATTTGAAATTAAGATTTCTTTGAATTTCATTTCTTCTGCAGCTAGCAGGTTTGGGACATGTGAAATCGACTGGACACGAGCGCTGTACTCCGTTCCGTTCAAGCTCTACGTCATCAGCATTTTATTCTGAGAAGTTTATTTATGTATAATCTTATTACTCTTTTAATTATTTTTATAACTATCTACTATGTCCGACTGATTGCACTGTATTCCTCCTTTTGATTCTAAACTGACCTTAAATGGCACTGAGAATTGGGTAAGAGACAAGCATAAATGACTTAATTGGGGAACTTGAGAGATGAAACCATGCTGATGACCTGGGTCTGTGGTGGAGTAGTGAGTTTGACGTGTAATTAAACTCGAGGTTCTGTGGGGTGCGGACTGGATCGATTCCATTCCTAGAGCTTCCGAACAAATGGGTTTTTGGGGTGCGGACTGATGGAGCAGTGAACCCGAGGTTACCCCGTGAGTCAGTCCTAGAGCTCCTCCTGTCCGATTTTAGGGGGAAATCGGGTCCATCGAAGACGTCCAATAGATTTCTTAGGCGCCTAAATAACACCACATACACAGTTTAATCACCATGGGAAAATCTCAGAGTAAAACTGGGAGCTGTGAAAAATATGATACACCGGTGTTTTGCCAGATGAGAAGTTTATCTATGTATCGTCTTTTTACTCTTTTAATTCATTTTATAACTGTGTCATATATCTCTTTTAATTTCTTTTATAACGGTTTTAATTTTCATTGCTTTTATTTTGTGATTCTTTTAATTCCTTTCTGTAAAGCACTTTGAATTGCTATAGTGTATTAAATGTGCTAAATAAATAAACTTGCCTTGCCTTCGTGCCGCTGTTCATTATAGTTTTCACGTATGTGTCCATCATCCGCACGGTCAGCTCCAGCCACAAGTTCAGTCAGGGAGGAGATGTTAGCGAGAGGCAGAAAAAGATTGAACGCAGCATCACACAGGTAAAACAACTGCCCCATAAATTTCAATTTTCATCTAACAAGTAACTATTGCTCTCAGCTTCATATTCACGCATGTGTCGTACTTTGGTTCTCGCTCCAGGTTTTCCTCATTGTGTGTGCGGCCTTCCTGTTGGCCTCGTCCCCGTACGCAGTCATTTCCATGTGGTCTGCCTGGGGTTACCAAGTACCCCCACTCAACGGCATCCTGGCAAGCCTATTCGCCAAGTCAGCAAGTTTCTACAATCCGTTTATCTACATTGGCATGAGCTCTAAGTTCCGGAAGGACTTGCAGGCTCTGTTTTACTGTCTCAGACCCACATCAGCGCACAGGCACACCCCTCCTGTGCCATTGGCCCGGCCTGGTGATGTGCAGCTCGATGTGGATGGCTTTAGGGAGGATGAGCCGGTAGAGATGGACCATAAGGCAAGTGAAAGCAGCCCAGAGGCAGAGCCCTCCTTAATCAGAACGCCAGTGTAGCCCTTTAACAGAGTCACATAAGAGTGTCAGTCCTCATGGATTAATGAAGAAACTCAGCGACTCTGGAAGACTTTAGCTGTCTTTCTTATGTTAGTTTATGTGCTCTAAATGTTTATATAAGATGATGATGATGATGATAAATAGTATTATGATGATAAAGTACATTCACTTCATGTATTATCTTAATTTCACAACAAATACAAACAGATTGGGACACTCCAGGCTACTAGTGAGTCATTTGTACAAATGCTTCATGTTGAACGTTAGGTCATTGTGTGAATCCAATAAAATTGAGGTTAATGGGCCTATTTCGCTTCATCTCTGTCTCTGTGGTTTGTGAAGTGTTGACACACATTTAATGGTAAGTCTGTATTACATCCTCCTCAGTTTAGGGTTAGGGAGGAGTGATAAATGGGTTGCTGGAGATCCCCTCTCTCGTCCAAGCACATCAAACACACACAAATTAGGTAAGGAAGAAAATAAAAATATTAGGTAAGGTATAAAATATGTCTGGAAGAGAAAAGGGCCAAAATAATAATAACAAACATTATGCATTTACCCAAGAGGGAATAGAATCAAACTTTTGACGAATAAGAAAACATCTCTCTCGCTAACCAAAAACAGGATAAAATAAAATCCAACCACCCTACAGCTTTCCTAATTTTAAATTCAGAATTAAATAGCAAACATTTTAAGTAACATTAAATTAATAATATTACATAAAAACATTTATAAAAATATATATATTTCACAAGCTAATTAAAGTTTGAAATTTTGGTTAATGGCACTGAAAGCCCATTAAAGATGAGCAACATATCATGAATATCTCTGTTATTGTAGAGATGCTATTATAGTTAACATATACTTTTAGTAAGTGATTTTGTCATTTTTGTTAGTTTTATAGTATATAGTTTTATTAATTTTATTTCAGTTTTAGTTTCAGATATGGTACACAAAACTAAATGAAACTGAGAAATGTTGTTTTTAAAATAAGTTTTTATAATATTTTATTTCAGTTAAAAGTTGTTTTATTTCAAGTAATTTCCCGCAGAAATCCACCAGTACCACTGGAATTAAAAACATTATTACAAGCTTACCGTTTTGAATCGAGTTAAGGCAAGCAGAGAGTTTTGAACACTGGCTGGTTATGTATTTTCTCAAAAATTTAATTTGGATAATTTTTAACCCAAAAAAGCTACGGACTGCAGCTTTAAATTAACAGTGGTGTGTGAATGTTAATGGTTTTATAACAAATAATTTATCGAGAGCATTTATGCTGATGTGTAGGTGGTGGCGACACGTAGGCTAACTTGAAAGTAGCCTATTGCATGCAGGTACAGAAAAAAAAATTATACTTTCATATATTTTTGCGGGAGTGGGACTGAAAAATACGTCCCGCGCAGGTCTTAACCTCACTCCCATCCGGGTCATGGCACCAAATGTTAGAGGTCCTACTCGACGCACATCGAGTAGGACGCACATCTCTTACTGGCCTAAGTCTATTACAAAAGCACCAGAAGGAATCGTGGTGAGAAGCTCTAGGATGATGGGCTGGAGGATATAAAAAGCAGGACAATTCACAAATTATAGCCTGGTGACTGCCGAGTAAGACCTCCTGTCTCTGTCCTCAAATGAGTCCATGTTTGACCAGTCAGGACAGAGTATGAATTACTCAAGCGCAGAATGAACAGAACAGTCAGGTAATGGTGCTTTATTTATATTATCCAGGCACATAATTCAAAAGCAGCAGGCACTCTCGTAGTCAGAGGAACAGCGAAAGCTTGAGTCCAAACAGAGCAGTGGGAAGAGTCAAACAATCCAGAGTCGTAATTCCAAGAACAGACAAGGTCAATAACTGGTTTCAGAACAAATAGATTAAAAGCAAACAACTATGACCTTATGGGTCACAAAGGAATTAGAACCGGGCAAAGAACAGAGAAATAGTACACAGTCACACAGATAATCAGTTTATAATTGTCAAGTGATTGGTTGAACAGGATGAAAAATATTCAATATATGCAATAAGTAGAATGCTTTAATATGATCTTTTTGTTGTTGTTTATAATACAGGTAAAAAGCAGAGCGAAGTTTTTTGTACCCTGTGTATGTGGGAAACGCTGTATCAGAGGTAATTTGGTATGAGCAGGGATTTTTCTCAAAGAAATGACTAACACCTCAGTGGCCTGATCTTACGGTTGTGGGAAATGTCTCCCTCCTGCCCCGGTCACAGCACTCGAACTTTCTCTACTCATGCATGTCACCTCTTCAAATGATTGCAGAGAGAATTAGTCCCACATGGTGGTCACAAAATAAGAGGATCTTGGTGTGTATGGTGTTGTGGTGGATGTTCTCTCAAATTAGTGGTGCCGGGGTTTAAAGTAGGTCTGTTATGCAATAAGATTTTTTTTTTTGGCGCAGACCCATAGGCTTATTTTGGTGCAGGACTACTATGCAGTTTGAAATAATATTGAATTCTGGAAAATATTCATCAGTGTGGTGTATAATTTTATGACTAGAAGGAAATTCTTAAAAGAAAGTCATGCATCTGCTAAGAGTGAGAAGATGTCAAATGTTCACTACCTAGGTAAGATTTTTGTGTGAATAAGTCTCTTATACAAACCAACACTGATCAAAAAATAGCTTTTTTCCATTTTAATATCCTTTTAGACTCTAATTTATTGCTGTGATGGTAAACCTTTGATCAATTTAATGTGTCTTTGCTGAATAAAAGTATTAATTTCTTTTTAAAAAAATCCTGACCCAAACTTTTGAATGGCAGACTAAAACATATTGCAAAAGCTACTGCCATTCACTGTCAAGCTTTTGACAATATATTGTATGACACATTGACATTTACTTGAACTAGACGTCCATTAGCTCTGATGGAGAGTGACAAGTAGGCCTATAAGGTATTAGTATAGGAGGTCTCCCTACTAAGTGCAAAAACATAAAATCACCCACATGAAATAACTGAAAACTGAAAAAAACTGAACTAAAACTGAAAATAATAATAATAACTAAAAACTGAACAAACTCAAAACTCAAGCTATTTTTTCTATCATTTTTAACTGCTGCAAATCTTCATTCTGCCCACATTTGGAAACTATCACTTTTTCTGTGGTGAATTCACAATGTCCAAAATCTCCAAGAAACCTAATATATATATTCTCTTATATTAATCGTGAAATATCGTTTTTTCTGGTTAATGTTTCCAACATAGAGAATGAAATCTTTTTTTTATTATTATTATTTATTTTGGGAAAATAAATTTCTCTTTTCAAGCAGACAAATCTGGGCTCAAGTCTACACGGCATTAGCCAAGGCTAATATTTGTGTAGGTGAAGACGGTCGCCTAAATGAGACATCCATCGAAGTATTAGACGGCTACTACTATTTATAGGGAGTGGAGCGGTAGTCTATGCATTCTTGGACGAAGGCTGTGGATCTCCCATGAAGTCTCACATGGTGTGAAACGTGACAGCGCGATGCTGGCCTGGGAAGAAACATGTGTGTCACTTTGCTTTAATTCAGCATTTTTCATCTGACTGCACAAAGCCAGAGGAGTCAAGCCAACTTTTCCATATGACCATCAGCTGCCCCAATGGGAACAAACTGTAATACCAAGTCACAGGAATCATCACCTGCTTAACCTACTATAACTAAACCTATTCTATTACATAAAGGAACACACTGTTTTAACGTAATATGTCATAATATAATATATAAACATAAAAATCACTGCAATAATGATCCAATCATCAACTCTAAAGAATTTGCCTATTTAAATCTAAACAGCGACTTTATTTTTTTTGGGGCTGGGCAATGTATATATTTTTAATAATTAAAATACTACCACATATTTATTATATTTTGTTAATAACATATGTTAATAACATGAATAATTTTTACATATTATGTTTTATTACTGAATAATACCACCTGATTGTGTCTTTGTTTACTATCCACAATCTAAAGTATATCAGCCCACCCTTTCTTGTTTCATTTTGGCACACCATCAATAAGCGATTTAAACCGCTGGTATTTAATCATGAATGGTTTATCTAACCAAGCTTTACTTGATATGGAAGTTCACACTCTGGTTGAGAGACTTTAATGTTTTCCACCATGACCTTCCCAAGAATTTTCTCCTGAAAGGCCGCTTGAGTCTGACATGGACTTTGTGTTCTGTGAAATATTCATTAATTGAGACATTGGGACAGTTCCCAGTTGTTACAATGAGCAGTTATTCTAAGAGGATTGAGTATCATTCCTAGAGAGGTTTTTTTTTACCTGTCCCACTGAATAAGCACCTTGTCGCACACTACGTACTCCTACAAACTTCCATAGCACTTAATAAGTAAATGCCAATGAGTTGTGAGACGCCACAGTAAACATGGTCCTATCATATTCCTGTTTGCGGCCAGGATTAAACCCGGAAATGGTCCACAGTACAGCTGATGAAGGATGATTACATAAAAGTTACCAGGAGAAGACAAAGACCTCTTTGAAAACAGGACAGTGTCGTGCTAATGCACCCAATTGCCCTTTCACATACTAAGCACTCTCTGTATATTGAAAATAAATATAATTTATGGACGATTTTTTTAGCATGAGCCATGTTCAAGATGTGTGTTCATTTTTAAAACAGTGAAGCAAATATATGTGTTCTGAAAGGGACTTCTGTCACACTACTTGTGCTTTTATTTATCAGCTGATAAGTCTCTATTCTGTTTGGTCAGGTCTTCTCAATAGACTGCCATTCTCCCTATTCGGACCATTTGGGGTGAGGTTGTGTGTTTAGATAATATTAATAGCACTGAATCAAGGTTAATTACACCTCATTAGCCTCAAGGTAAAGTTTTGGCTCCCAGTCAGGGCCTAATCATGACATGTGTTCATGTGTTTTTTATTCTCCTCTTTTTAGCTCTCTGTTTCGTTACTCACCACCTCTGAATAAACTAAACTACATGGTTACACTGAGTTATAGCATATAGTTATTATATATTTGATCGAAATGGCTGAAAAGCAGGAGAATTTAAAACAATGTCCTTTTCAGGTGGTTTGGATGTAAGGCCCGCCTCTTGTGATGTCAGCAGAGAATCATTGGGGTTTTCGGGGACATTATTTAAAGGACTAGCTCTTTCCTCAATATTCAGACACCTCTGGAATATCATCCATAACGGAATTACTTAATATTTTTTTCTATAAAGCTTTTAAGGCTGAAGAAACGTCATCCTACACAATATCTGTAAGTTGGATTTGATCTTCATATGTGGTTGATGATTTTTGGCTGTTTAATGCATTTTAATAGAGATAATTTTAATAATCCAGATATGCATCTTTTTTCTTCTCCATTCTGTCTCTCTCTCTCTCTCTCTCTCTCTCTCTCTCTCTCTCTCTCTCTCTCTCTCTCT